TGTGTGTGTATATATACCTACACACATATACATGTATTTGAAGTATAAAGAAGTAGAAAGGAGAAAAATTTAAATCACTGACTTTTATAAAAATATACTTGTAATATGTAATCACTTTTTCTTCTTGATTTTTATGCATTTCATATAATCATTCCATCTCTGAGAATGCCCCAAAAGAAATAGTTCAACATAGAACTAGGAACGTGGCTTGGTGGTAGAGTGCTTGCCTAGCTTGCACGAAGCCCTGAGTTCGATTCCTCAGTACCACATAAACAGAAAAAATGGTGCTGTGGCTCAGGTGATAGAGTGCTAGCCTTGAGCAAAAGAAGCTCAGAGACAGTGCCCAGGCCCTGGGTTCCAATCCTAGGACTGGCAAAAACAAACAGTTAAAGGTCCATACAAAGATTATGCATAATAGTAGTTTATTAGAATTGGTGTGTGTGTATGTGTATGTGCACACACACACTCTAGTACTGGGGCTTGAACCCAAGGCCTCAATGTTCTCACTCAGCCTTTGTTTCTTATTGCTGGTGAGCAACCACTTGAGCCACAGCTCCAGGACAGCTTTTTTAATTTTTGCTGGTTAATTAGAAATAGAATCTCTGTGATTTTCCTTCCTGAGCTAAATTTAAACTCAGATCTCAGCCTCTTGATTGGTAGATTTACAGCTATGAACCACAGGAGCCCTGAAGAATATTTTTTATAATATTAGAAAATTAGATACAAATGAAATATCCAAAATAGAACATAATTAAGTAAAATATAAACCATTTGTTTGATGAGATTCTATGCAGTTCCCCCATGCTTTCTGAGAGTTTAAGAATATAGAAAATAATCACTGTACATTAAAAGAAAGTCTGTTATACACTAAAAGTATGAAATATTTCTGAGAGAAATTAAGGATACAGAGAGGAGTATCATGCTCATGGATTAGATGATTTTTATATAGTTAAGACATAAGAACTACCTAAAACAGTCTAGAGAGTCAATGATATCTATGCAGAAACAGGAAAAAATACACTCACAAATTTACATGAAATCTCAAAGGGCTCAAATAAGCCAAAATAGTCTTGAAAAAGGACTCCTATTTCCTGATATCAAAATTTATTACAAAGCTATGGTAATCTGAATAGTGTGATGCTAGATACAGAGAACCTAGATACAGAAAACAATTACATAGCAAATGAAAAAATAAAATCTTGCATTTATTGCTAAATGAATTTGGACAGGACAATATCATTCAGTGGAGAAAACGATGTTAAAATATGTTGTTACAAGGACAAATACTGTAAGATTCTTTTTATTTGAGGTAGATAGAATAAGGTGATACAGAGAGACAGAAGGTGGAATGGTAGTTTCCAGGAACTGTAAGGGCAGTGAAGATGGGGAGGAGCTTTGTTCAGTGGGTGCAGAGCTGAGGTTTGCGATGAGACAATTGAAGATAAATAAAGGGTAATGCCACATTTTAAGCATTATGAAAATACACACAATCAAAATCACATAAACCTAAATTGTTAATTATGTATATTCTTATAGAAAGTAGAACTAAGGGCAATTTTTCATTATTTCTTTTATAATTTTTCTTTATGTTTCAGCATTTTGAGGAGCAACTATAAAAATAGATTTCTGAGTATGTTTTTTTTTCTCTTGGTCCTGGGGCTTGAACTTAACGCCTGGGCAATGTCTCTGAGCTTTTTGGCTCAAGACTGGCACTCTACCACTTGGGCCATAGCTCCACTTTCTAGTAATTAATTGGAGATAAGAGTCTCATAGATTTTGCTGCCTAAATTGGCTTTGAACTGTGAACTTTGATCTCAGTCTCCCAAGTAGCTAGGATTATAGGTATGAGCTTGGGAGTGCTTTGCATTTTAAATTTACGGTTGAAATTCTGTTGCCTTTCTTTAAAAATTTAATGATGCTTGCGGGAAAAATGTACTACACATACTTTTTTTTTTTCTGCTGGAGATTGAATTCAAGGTCTTGCACTTGGGTAGGAAAGTTCTCTAATACTTAAGCCCTGCCCCAAATCATCAATACAGTTTTGATCATTTCAGTGAACATTACATCAAACATTTTTCAGGTTACCACTTCATAAATAATTCTTGGGTAAAAACCAAGATTTAAGCGCCACATTTGCTTATTCCTATAGTACTGGAAAATTGGCAATTTCCATTTGTTTCATTATTATAACATCTGAATGAATAATTTGTGCATAACATTTTTCCATGTTTAGAATTTGTTTCTAAATTCCTGGTAGTGGATCAAACATTTGATTACATTTCCTCCTCCGCTGCTCTTACACCTTTATCAGTCAGGATTAATGAAATATATGTTTGCCAATAATTGGTACCACTCCCCTTGAAAAGGTGAACTGCAGGAATTGTTAGGGAATTGTAACATGTCAAGAACGAAATCGCTTGTGGTTGCTTTCCTTTACTTAATATAATTGGCATCTTGAAGTGTTTTTCCGTTGATACCTTTCTCTCCTTTGATATCCACTCTGTATCTCTTTTTGCGTCTTTCATTCTGATTTCCTTTTTGTGTCAAAGCTTATACTTGACACAGTAATATTTTGAGGTTCTCCTTAGTCCTGGGAATTTCTAACCTGGGCACAATTTATTCTAGGCCAAGATAGCTCTTAGTGCTTTCTATTACTCAGCATTTTTTTGGAAGTAGACTCAGATGTAGCCCACAGCTACTTCCTGGTTGCTAAGGTTACTGGCTTCAGGACTGTGCTAGGTATGGCAGAGGAGGAGTCAAAGAAGACCTGGGTCTTGATGATATTGTTGACCTGCTGAATTGACCATGCTTTGATGCTATGCTCTCCCCAGACTTCCCATTACCTGAAATAACTGGTGTCCCTATTGTTTGTCCAAGTAATATAGACTTGTTTGCTACTTTTATTCTAAAGCAGCCTAACTACCTCAGATTGAGTTTGGGCTATAGGATTAGGGTAAATTCTAACCTGGCTGTGGAGGACTAGAAGAGACGCAGCTCAATAGGTAGAGAGTGAGGAGGGGTAATCCAATAAAGAAAACAATGTGAGCAAGGGCAAGGAAATGTGGAAGAATTTTACAGGCCCCAATGAGCTGAGATGACGGACAGTTGGTATCAGACTAATAGGGAACTGGATCATGTGGGCCAGGTTTTCTTTCAAAGGAATTGTAAGTTTTCTTATGTGTTTTTTGACCAGGGAAATGATATAGTCACATTACTTTTTAAGTCATTCTTCCTTCCTAGTAATGAGAGTGCAGGAAACACAGAACAAAAGATAAGGAATAAAAGAGGCAAGAAAAGAGCTACGAAGTAAGTGAACATAGAGTCCTACTTACATATAGTTTAATACAAAGTAGTTGACACACACATGTATGTTGTATATGTATAAGGCCATACAAATATTAGAATCCAATTTGTTGCATGTGCTTATATAGAGAGACAGAATGAAACTTGGTTGTTTTTAATGACTCTGTGGTAAGAATCTATAAACTAGTGCTATCATGATTTTGACAAGCATCTTCCTGATGCATTATGGAAAATCAGTTCTTTCTGAGCTGTGGTTCTGGAACCTGCTGCCACCTTTATTGTTGTCCTTGTGACAATACAATTTGACTCTATCTTGCATAGAATGATCCTCAGGTCGATGCTAAACACCTTATCGCCTTAAGATTATATTGTTATATAATGGCTACTTTAGCTTTCTCTTTGTCCTTCTCTCTTCCTTTCTCTCTCTCTCTCCCTTTCCCTCTTTTTCCCCCTACTTTGGTTTTTTCACTTTACAAGTCAAGATTTTTGGGGGACTCTGAAGAAAGTTTATAGAGTCCCTAGGATAATTTAACTGTACTTTGGCTAGAAGTCTATGTTGCTTTTTTAAAAATGTTTTTTATTGTAAAAATAGTATATAGAGGGGTTACAGTTACATGAGTAAGATAATGAGTACATTTCCTATCGAGCATTGTTACCTCCTCCTTTGGTTTTCCCCTACCATCCCTTCCCTTCCCACTTCCCCAACTCCCCACTTCCCCCCAAGTTGTAAAGTTTGTTTTCAACATAGTGTCTTGTACATGTCATTGTTACAATGGGTCAACCTGTATCTTTGTTTCAGCATTTTGTTATTTCCCTTCCCCTCCCCAAATTAGAAAAATGTATATACATGATGCAGGGCACGACATCAAATACAGTGACAACAGGAGTTATATCGTGGTCTATGTTGCTTTTATAGCAGATAACAAAACACTCAGGAACCCTGGCTTGAACAGACATGGGTTTATTTTAGTCCCACTCCAAGAAGTCTCAGGGTAAAAGCTGGTTATAATTGGCTCAACACCTTGGACCCAAGGCCAGTATCTCTGCAATTCTCCTGTTCTTTTTGTCAGCCTTGTTACCTCTCGGATAAAAGATGACTGGAGTAAGGGGGAATTGTACCACCAGAAATCTCTCTTTCATTGAAGAGGTTTCTTTCTCCCTTTTAGCAACTACCTCCCTCCACTTACCTTTCAAAGGCCAGAACAGTTCGCGTGGCCACATCACCAGGAAGGGAGTCCGACAAATTTGTGAGCTCAAGTTTGCATAGGATTTTAGGAGATTTAGACAATTTCTGAAGACTTTTCTGGTTTAGAACCTCTGGTCTCAAAATTGTATCACACTCTCTGAACTTTGGCTTTCAGAGCTTCATTCAGAGAAAACTGAACAGACATAATAATTTAGTTGGAAACAATAAGTAGCCTGAAAGCCAAATAAGATTTTATATTGTGGAAGTGCTTTGTAAGTGGGAAAGTTCACTTCATACACAGGGTACTTCTTGTGAGAATTGATTTGGTTATCCAGGGGGTCACACATTTTGGTTTTTACATGCATTGTGTAGGTGATGGGCACCTGTGATACTGGCACTTGGGACGGTGAGGCAGGGAGATCTAGAATTCAAGGCCAGCCTGGGCTGTCTATCTAATGAAATAACAACTAACTGGTGAAACAAAAGGGGAAAAAAACCACAGAAGTAAATCAGTGCCAGGAACACACAGAAAGTATTTTATTAGCTTCCAGATGGAGAAACGATGCAGGACAACATATTTTAATAGAAATCCATGACTCTCCTCAAAGAGCCCACCCTGGCATTCATGGCTCCCCAATCGTGGTAGCGCCTGTACTCCCCCGGCCTCAGCAGGTACTGGCGGCCCCGGTAGTTGGGCATCTCGTAGAGGACCCAGCAGCCCTCCAATACATTGAGGGAGTGGATGTCATTGAAGTGGAAGCGTTCCTGGAGAGAAGGGCAGTCCTCAGTGAACTCCATCATCTGGCCTCTGTAATCTTCCCTCTCATAGATCCTGATTCTGTGAGATCCAGCCTGGTAGGTTGGTCCACGGACAGGAACAGAAAGGGAGTGAGAAACAACCATGAAATGAAATGATTCTTTCAGAGCACCCATCTTAACTGCAGTCCAGTGTGGTGGTAGAGGCTTGTTTAGTCCATTTTTAAATGTGACGAAATGACTTAGTGCTGAATACTTACAAACTCCTCATTCTTGAGAGCAGAGTTTCAGGACCTTCCCAAGATCATAAAGTGTGAGTGAAAGACCCCTGGAGTGGGCGTGGGGTGGGGTTGGGGAGGGATGGGGGGGATGAAATCTCACATCTTAATATATTCAGACATTGCCAAAGACTAAGAACTTCCTAACCTCAGAGATTCAGACGTTCACAACTAATTATTTTTGCCATTTTGAGAACACGTCTTACTCTAAAAATAAATATACTAAAACATAATAAAAATGTGTTATACATTAGAATATAAAACACGAAACAGAATATAAAATACAAACCATCTCAAGTCTCAGACAATGAATGTTCAGTCAGTAACTGACAATGAGGAAAAGCAAAAAACAAAACAAAACACTAAATCCAAGAACTTTTTTTGCTTAAACGGTAGCCTTTAAAGGTGTGTATGAAATACACATGACACATGCCAAATATCTATGAGGCTGTACTTAAAGGGAAAGTACTTTTATTCTTATATGACCAGAGGACACTCAAAATAAGCAAAAGGTGGCAGAGGATGATCTTGTAGGCTCCCTGGCCGCCAAGCCACCAGGGCCCCAGTATTCCTCTCCTAGGTATCAGTGGGTTTTCTATAATCCCATTCTAAGTGATTCCAAGACCCCACCTAGGCTGTCAACGCTTTCCCACGCCACGAGGACTGGTGGATTAGCCTCTGGGCACCACTTGGCTTCTGTGGAGGGAACAACCCCCACACACCCCACAAAATGGGAGGAATCCATGCCAGCTCTCCTTGGATCTTTTCATCTCCTTCTCAGAAATTCGGACCGGTCATCCCTAGACTACACTGTTGAACCTTTACTGGCAGCTATGCTGCCAGGGTCCCGTGGGGCCTCGGTGGGGACGGGAGATGTAGACTCACGTCTGGAATGAGGCGGCAGGAGCGGATGGAGTCGCTGAGGCCCATCCACTGCTGGTAGTCGGGGTAGTCGCCCCGCCGCAGGAAGTACTGGCAGCCCTGGTAGTTGGGCTGCTCATAGAGCATCCAGCAGCCGCTGTCCACGCGCACCGAGTTGCAGCGGCTGAAGTAGGGCTGCAGGTTGGAGCAGTCGCTGCTGCACTCGTAGCAGCGGCCCTGGAAGCCGCGGTCCTCGTAGAAGGTGATCTGCAAGGCGAGGCCAGGCCGGGGCTCAGACGCCTGCGCTGCAGGGGGCTCTGCCCGGGGCCCGGTGGGCAGCAGGGTCCCCTCCCGGCCGGGCGCCCTCTGGACTCACCTTGCCCATGGCTGGTGGAGGCGGCTGTGAGGTTGAGCTGTGTGTGTCCGCAGCGCAGCGTGGCCGTCTATATAGCAGGAGGGCTGCTGCGTTGGCAGGAACAGCACAAAAGGGGCCCTCGGGGGAGCAAGGGCATGTTCATCTCTCTCTCTTTTTTTTTCTCCCTCTTTGCTGTCATAGTCCACGAGTCTCATTGTGGGTTTCTGGAATATTCGTGCTGCTATCACTGGCTGATGCAGTGGAGATTGTTTGGGAAAAACAAAAGTAGTTTGGGACATTGTCTATTTAATAATAGAAGTAGAGCTTCAGCCGTTTCATGTAGCCATCCACCCTTTTCATTTGTATAGTTGGGGAAAACACAGTAGTTCTAAGTGGAGGTGGGGGCAGGGAGACAAATAAACCCCTAGAATCTTAATACAATAAACATAGAATAATCTGTAAGGCCTGACTGTTATACCCATGCGCTGCAACTTCAATATTGATTGTTACAGGAAAGGAATGAATTTAACTGGATGTTGAAAACTTGAAATTACTCCTTTGGGAGAGCCTCAGAATTATAGAATATAGAAAGTAAAATGCTCCCCCCTTCCCTTCCACCTGGGTAAATTTGCAGAATTTCAAGCTTTTAGTACAGCCAAAAACAGTGGGTACTGGTTGTCAGTATTGGTTCTGATTTCATTCCGGTCCTCTCTGGAAGTTGAGAATTAAAACAACTCATCTTAGCTAGTTGTGCTTCCAAAATTGTTTCAAGATGCTTACTCTTAGAAAGAAGAACTAAAGGGAAATGTCTGCGCTTGAAATGAGCAAATAAGGAAAATGAATCCATTTAAAACATGAAAATTAGATTCATGCTTTGTTTATTGTAGCATGAACAGAAATTCCTAAGAAACACTTCTGGCAGGATCTTTGTTCTCTGGTGATCAAGAGCAAACAAGGCCTTTCACTCAGAGGAAATGAATGGTAGAATACAAAGGAGAGCTATGGCAGGAATGGGGTAGAGAGAGGAAGGAATAAATGTCTAAAGGCCCGCAGTCTAGGAAGACTTTAAAATGTTTGTATTGGTCTGGACAGCAGTTTGATGGACTGGAAAGAGCGCTGGAGTGGAAGGGGACCTAGTGTCTATCCTGTCACGTTCAAAGAATTCCTCACAATTCTATGTGGACCCATGGAAGGGCTTCATTCTGACAAATCTGTCCAAGTGGAACCCCAACTATGCGCGCTATGGTTATTTTACTTCTTGTTTTCTGGCTTCTGATTTCCTGCATGTGTGTAGACATGGATGACAAAGCTACTTCCGTTCAGATAATGGAAAATAAGCAGTCAGACTATAACTAATGAAAATCATCACTTGGGGCTGGGAGAGGTGTGGTTCAAGTGATAGAAACAGATCTGAACATTACACAATAAACAATTTCTTTTTCTTATTATTTTTGGAGTGCAGGAATTTGAACTTAAGGCCTTGTGCTCGCTAGGCAGTGCTTTACTAATTGAGCCATACCTCCAACCCCTTTCCTTTTTTTCTCCCAACCGCTTTTTGTGTTGGTTGTTTTTGAGGTAGGGTCTTCCTGTACCACATTGGCCCGGGCTATGATCCCCCTACTGTAGTCTCCTTATTCCTGGGGATGACAGACATTGCCTGGTATCTGGCCAGTGTTGAGATGGAGTCTTGTGAACTTATATACCTGGGTTGACCAGGAATCACAATTCCCAGATCTCTACCTCCTAAATAGTTAGAGATTCCAGGCTTGAGCCATATAACTAGGCTAAAAAATAAAAACTATATAAATATATGTGTTCATATACATATATTCCATCATCATTTTAATTAAAAATTTAAAATAAGAAAAAATGAATTGGATAGTCTGGGGGTGTGGCTCAACTGGTAGAAAGACTTCCTGGCAAGAGCACACGTCTGAGTTCACACTCCAGTATGGCCATAAATAAGATTACAATGTTATTTTTCTCAGAGTCGTCTCTGAATCTAGTGTTTTGTGGGATGAGTATGGAGGGATGAAAATAGTAAAATGTGAGAAAGAAGTGGAATTCAGAGCCTCAGAGAGCATGGACAGTATGGCTCAGGAAATAAACAAGTAGGGAACTGGGTGTAGTGAGTCATGCCTATAATCCCAGTACTTGGGAAGCTGAGACAGGAGAAATGCAAGTTTGAGGCCAATCTGGCTACATATATAGTTTGAGGTCAGTTTATACAGTTTAGTAAGACCTTGTCTCAAGCAAGCAAACAAACAAAACATTGAGGAGATAGTAGAGCCATCTTTGTGACCACTACCTCTGTTGACAAGAGCTTATAACTGAAATGAAGGCTCTGTCTAGAGACTAAAACACAAGGATTTGTTGGGATTTTTCCCCCCATTGACTAAAAGGAGAAAAGACTCTATTTCAGTTTGGGTCTGAAGAAGCAAGGAAAATACTCTAGGTTTCTTATAAAGCTCCACAGCTATGGCTTGGGTCAAAATGTGACTTGATGTACATTCTGTACAGAAAATTTCAGAAGAGACACATGTGTGTCACATTCAAGTCCCAAGGTATTCACAGTGCGCTTGGCAAACATGAATGAGCCAAAAGTCCTCATGATTGCATATAGAACTCTCTCTCTCTCCTTCCTTCCTTCCTTCCTTCTTTCTTTCTTTCTTTCTTTTTTTCTTTCTTTCTTTCTTTCTTTCTTTCTTTCTTTCTTTTTCCTTCCTGCCTTCCTGCCTGCCTTCCTTCCTTCCTTCCTTCCTTTCTTTCTTTCCTTCCTTCCTTCTTTCCTTTTTTCCTTCCTCCTTCTTTCTTTCTTTCTTTCTTTCTTTCTTTCTTTCTTTCTTTCTTTCTTTCTTTCTTTCTTTCTTTCTTTCTTTCTTTCTT